TCTGGTAACTTGTAAACCAAAAAAAAAAAAAAAAGTCTTTGTTTTGGCAACTTCATTTGCAGTCAGACTGTATTATTTATTTCCTGCTTCAGTTGTTGGAGAAACTTTTGTAATGGCGGGTGTCAGTCAAATAAATGATTGTTGTCTTCCACCTGAGCAGAAGCAACACAAAAATTTCAACTGTGTAATTAATAAACAAGGAGCCAACGGATGTGAGAGCAATGGAAACCCTCTGATCACTTCCTCTGGAAGGGGCTGATTGCCACTCACACCTCGATGGCATCTGCTTGCAGATATAATGAAGAAAGATTATCATTGCTGTAAGTGACTGCAGTGACTCTGGTCAGCAAATAATAAAGACACTGTCTTAGTGATCAGCCCTGCCTCCCAGGTGCTAACACTGTTAAGTGATATCTCAGTGGGATTTTGGGTCCTCATTTATGTGACTGCAATAGAAAACCAGACGTAATTAATTTCATGCCGTTCCCTGCACTTCTAAACTGAAAACACAGTCACGACCAAAGTCAGCTTATTTCTGCACTGATGGCTTAAAGAAGAAGCAGTGGCAGACCTTTAAAGCAAAGAGCTTGGTTTAGTTTTGATAAATCAGTGTAAAATGTTGGCTGTATATGAGTTTTCTCCAGGGCCTCCTTTGGATCCTGATGGGGTGGAGGAAGAGTGAGCCATTAGCTGTGTCCTGTGGAAATGCGGAAATAAAATATTCTTTCGGTGTTTCAGCTCTTCCTGGGGTGCTGGCTGCTCTTGGGAATTGTGCAGAATCCTTCTGTGTCTGTCCTTACTCTCCTTGATTTGTAGCTTCAACTGTGTGCGAAAGGAGCTTAAATATGTGTCCCCATCTTCATAAAAAAGGGACAAGAGTGAATAATAAAATGGACCAGCCCAGTTCTGTTGGAGCATAACTAAAGTGAGGAGCAAGGAGAACTTCCAGACCTGCTTCTCTTTTACAGACCCAACCAAACATCCCAAGGACTGCCTTGTTTAACTGGAAGTGGCCCCTGGTTGTCCTGAGTAGGGTACCCGAGTATCTGAGTAGGTTTCCAAGGCTTGGGAAGCTGAGTGGAAAAGTTAAAAGGTGCAAGAGAAGTCTCTGACTTTTAAAGCCTTTTAACGTCCTCAAATTTCTGTTGTGGTCACAGGTGATACAGTGCAGAGTTGATAAATTCACCTGCTCTTTTATCAGGCCATTCTGTAAAATTTCTTTGGATTTCTTGCCTTCCTTGGTGACCATATTCCAGCTGAGTCCAGAACAAAGGGCTAAATCCTGCTGAAACAATCTGTCCCCAGGGGCTGGAGGCGACTGCCTCTAATGTACAGATAAAGTCAGTCATACCAGCTGCAGATGAAATCACAGAAGAAATCTTGCTAATTAATTGCATGAACTTTGATTCTGCCTGGTTTGAGATTCTCTCAGCCTTGCATAAAGACCTGGGCACCCATGCTGTACACCTCAACGGGGCTGTCGATTTTCCAAGGAAGACTAACATTTTTTTTTTTTTTCTTGGTGCCTAAAATAGCCCTGCAATTACTTCTGCTCCCGTGGTCCCGCAGTAACAAAATGGTTTCTGCAAACTGGGTTTGTTCACATGTGATTGAAAAGTTGCCCAACGTTGTTCTGCCAAGTTAGGCACTGATTCAGGTTTATGACCATATCATTAATATTTTAGTACCACATCAGTAACTGGTTGCTATTAATATGTAGTGAAACAGTGATATAAAAAGGGAGATGTTCCCAGTCATTTGGCAGAATTTGCATTACAGCTGGATGAAATTTATAACACATCTTCTGCAACCTACCAGTCTGAACTCCTGTTATTAATTTCTGCTGTGTTTATTTCTCCTTTATGTTCACTTTGGGCGATATTCTATCAAGTTTCCTGGCAAGCACCACGGTGGATATAGCTAATTTCAGCTGACTGCAGGGGAAGGACTCTGTGGAAAGTGAATTTTGAATTAGCACTGGTATTTGCAGCAAAAAACTCCCCCTGAGAAGTCTATTCCCCTCGGCCTGGCGTCAGCAGCACTTAAGTGCATGTGAATAGCCCTATTGACTTCAGGTAGGCAGCTGTTTAATTACCTTCCTGAATCAAGGCCAGGACCAGGAAACAAGCTCCCAGCACGGACCTGGGTGCCGGCTCAAACAGCTTGTCTCCCGAATGCCCAACTTCTGTGAGTGACCCACGGATTGTTTGACTCGGTAATTTGGCAAATCCTTTCCAGTCGAGAATAAATTCGAGGAAATCATCATTTGACGCACGGAGAGGTGAAATTTGTGCAGTGTATTTTTCATGACGAGGCAGCTATTGCCCGGATTTATTCAGCCTGCTTGGCTCTTCCTGTTTCAATAGGCCCAGCAATCACATTTTTTCCCCCCCACCTTGTATTTAGGAACTGTGAAATGACAGGTCTCTTGCCTCTCTACCAGGCAGGCACTGTGCTGTACACAGCATGCTGCACGCAGGAGGAGGAGGATAAAGAATGACATGCTACTCTGTAAGTTACAACTATTTTTTTTTTTTTTTTTTTTCAGGCTCGCATCTGCTCTTGTCCCTCTTCTGTTCTCAGATCACTCTTCGGCTTCCCTTAGGAATCCAGCTGTGTCATCACATTGTGTGGCATCCTAATATTTCATACTAAGCTGTAAGCCAATTAGGAATGACTACTTACCATGCTGAATCATAGGAAGAGAAAAGGATAATGTGTCCTTCATATAACGAACCTCCTCTTTTTTGGCAAGACAGATCACCTACGTGTTATATTTATAAGCCCTGTGGCTTTTCACTCTGCCCAATTAGGGTGCAGCTTCCCCTCACACTGCTGCAATATTTTAAGGGACTTATTTACAGATGGATGCTTATTGAAAATGCTGACCTGCTACCATTGTGCCTCATGCCACCTTTCATCTTCAGAGGCTGAAACACTGGACAAAACTTGATGTTGTAATCACCTTTAACAGGATGAGAACACGAGTGCAGCAAAATATAAATACCTTGTCCTGAGCTCCTAAATGAACTGGTGACCCAGAATGAGGGTATAACATTATGGCATGCCACACAGGGTTGAGAGAGGTGTTGATTAAAGTCCAACTGTAAAATAAAGCCTCTTACATCGAAAAGGAAGAAGAATAAACCATTGATGTGTATTTGGCTCGAAGTGTTTAGTAATGAGCACCAAAGAGAAAGATATTAAAATATATTTCCCATGCTGAAGTAATTAATGGGCTCTTGTGCCAGGTGTCTGAGCTGCTCAGAGGTTTGGGATAAACAGCGTTCCAGCAGAGGATGCAAAGTATCATTTATGGTTAAATGGGATGTTAGTTGCAGTGGAGCCTTTAGGATGCCCCCTTTCCTCCAAGTGGTGTTTCTTTTCCTGAACTGCTTCAGGAGCTATCGACTGTATTTATTGTCTGGGAAGAGATGCACTCCTTCAAATTTGCCTTTGGATCTGAGCAGTGCTGCAAACTGAGGACTCTGGTGACCTGTGTCTGGTACCTGCCATCCTTCAAACCTTGCCTAGTCTTGTTAGCCCTCATTGCAAAGCAAGCAGGGCAAGAGAGAAGCCAGTGAAGCAGCACCCTCAGGTGACAGATTTTGTGTGCAGTCGGGGTAGGGATCACACTCCTGAAGAGCCCTGGCTGTGGATACATCCAGAGAGAAGGGATGGCCTCTCAGATTTGCCTCCCCAAACTGTATTTCCCAAACCAAAATCAGCCATTTTTGTTGCCTCTGCTGCTCAGAGAGGTTGCAGCTGAACAAAATGTGTGTCTCTGGATTCAGACTCCAGCGAGGCCCAGCCATACCCTGCTAGGGTGCAGTTATTGCTCTGATGGTCACATCCTCTTGCTTTTCCTCAAAATACTTCTGAGATAAGCAAGTTCTCCCACGACCTGCTGGGAAGTAGCAGTGGAGAGTCCAGGCTGAACATGTGGGGCTAAAAGCACAGAGCCAGGCAGCTGTAGGGAATCAGGGAGATCACCTTTGTTTTCCGGGGTAACTAATCCCACCTGTACTGAGCTTGTTAGAGGGCTGCGATCTCAGTGGGGAATGCTGGTGGTAAGGTAGGGCTAAAGATGCTGTAGTATAAAAGCTTCTGCAAGGAGAGGAGAAAGGTTTTGGGTATTTTTCTTGCTCGAAGAAATCTAAAGTAAGTTGAAGTTAGTTCTGGTGTAAGGGTTTTGTGCTTTATCTGGAATAATGCTTGTTTTTAAACGTGGGAGTTCAGAAACCTCTTGGCATTCAAGATAAAATTGCCTGTTTAGGATCTGTACCTTTTTGTATTGTTATTCAAAAATGTCTCAGTTAATCATTGCAAAAGGCCTCGCCACCCTGTGTTGCAAATTTCTTTTTTTTTTTTTTTTTTTTTTTTTTTTTTTTTTTTTTTTTTTTTTTTTTTTTTAAATGCAGGATGTATGCAATTTATGTTGTTCCTCTCCACATGGATAAGGACTTATCTCAAATGTCAGGGTGGGGGAGGAAAGGATACCTGACCCAGAGGGCAGGAATATTGAATGCACTGGTGTTGGACTCAACATTCCTCTAGTATTCCCTGTAATAACATCAATCTCCGGGAACTCTCTTGATATAAATACAGAGCTGCTGTGCTTAATATATATTTCCAGAGGAATTTCATAGTAATTGAGCATTAAATGATGTCCACTTATCGTAAAGTGTTACTGTTTTTATTAAAAATTATAAATGGGCTTCAGCAGAACAGAATATACCAGATTCACACACCATCTTGATTAGTCTTTATGTTATAATTGTCATTGACCGCCTTTACTGTATTATTTCTAGATGGTTCGTAATTTTCCCAGCTGAACAAATGAAGATTTGTGAGCAAAGAAAGGCACTGACTGGATTATGTAGTGTCATTGATTTTTATTCTCCTTGTTTCACAGAACACACTGAAAAAAAAAATCTTGCTGTCTCTGTGATGGGCCTTATTAGCACCGGGAGGAGCTGGTGTGAGCTGATGGCAGTAACACGTGTGCTGCTCTGGAAATCTCAGCTTGAGGAGAAGGAGATGGCAGAGCTGACCTTGGGATACATCTGTTGGATGTCCAGGTATGACCTGAGCAGTCAGGATTTGTGTGTGTGGGGGAGGTCTTTGCCTACTGTACAGGTTGCAGTCAGCTATCACAAGTCCCTGTCTGCAGAACCAGGGACCTGAGGGCTGCACAAAGGGAATGGGGCTGACTGTTTTGGAGGCAAAGAAGGGCCTGTATGGGAAGCTGTGTCTCATTCAGTAACATTTAACCCTGAAGAAGATGATGGCAGATATCCCATCCCTGGAAGTGTTCAAGGCCACGTTGGACAAGGCTTGGAGCAACCTAGTCTAGTGGAAGGTATCCCTGCCCATGGCAGGGAAATTGGAACTAGATGATCTTTAAGGTCCTTTCCAACTCAGATCGCTCTGACTATGAAATATTGGCATTTCCCTTCTCTGCAGATGATGGCTTTTGCACAGGCTATCAGTGTACCCCACCCACATTGCCGCTCTTCACTGTGACTTTCAAAGCTTTTTGGGTTTGAAGATTTGAAATGGTTTCTCAGATATGAAAATTGAAAACTGATATTTATTTGTAAAATTTGACCCAAATCTATTAATTCTTGTATTCCTCCTAAGACTGTAAAAGAGGTAATTAGGTGTTCAGGGCAGAAAGGATCTTACAGAACAGTGCTACTCCATTTCATTATCATTAAACAACAAATGAGACACCAAAAAAATAGGAGGGGAACTGTGAATGGAAATTATGGAGAGATTCATTATTTATGTGTATGTTCTTGAGGCTTGAATGAAATGACATGTGTGGGCTAGAAATACAGCTCTTTCTATTCTTCAGTCGAGTCTGGTGTGATAGTATTTACCTTTTAGATGCCTGTATCTCTTATTGGGTCTTGATGCATCATGTAGTTCAGATTAGTAATGTGGCTTTTTAATTAGCAGGGCTTCACTGTGGCTTGTTTGTCTCTGCTGCTGATCTTTGTATTATCTGTAAAACACAGCCCATGGGAAGATGACCAGGAATGCCTAAAACCTTGTACAAAGCATTAAATGTTCTTTCTGGATCAGGAAAAGCGAACAAACCCTCTTATACAGGTATATAAGTTTCTGGGAACTTTCTGGAGTTCTGTTACAACTAAATGGGGAAATGCCTGTCCAGTTAAAATGAAAGAATATATTTTCTGGCCATGGGAGTAAAGGAGAGGTACAAATGGAACCCCATCTTTGCCCTTATTGTTTATTAATGCAGCCCCTGCTCCTTGTGAAAGCCTTAACTGGCCTGTGTGTTCTGGTTTGTATAAGAAATGACAGGAACGACTCCAGTCTCACTCCACAGACCAAACTTTTCACACAGCTCAGATAGAAATGAGCCCCTGGGGACCCTCAGGATGCTGCCTGTGCTCTGTGAGACTCTGTGATGGCAAAGCCAGCTCTCAGTTGTTAATCCCAACACATCATACAAGACACTTTCTATCTCCTCCTGTAATGTTAATGCAGCTGGAATTCCATAAATCAAATCTCAGCAGTAAAAAGGTTAATAAGTTTACACTATATAATTGAAAGCCATATTGGTGATTAAAAGGATTTTATATATCAGTTTTCTGGGTCACCAACTAATTATTTTTGGTGGCCTGTAATAAAACAAAGCACCATAGGCAGAGAGAGGCTGTAATCACATAATATATGAAAAAAAAAGCATTTACGTTTATTGGAGATGAGGTTTTGTACACCAGCTTGTTGAACAGCCTTTGAGGTTCATCCCCCCTAGTTTGGAGACAATGGGAGACCTCCTGTTCCATGCACTTGGTGAGGTTCATCCAAAGTTATTGGACTGAGTTTGGAGGTCTGGCACTCTCTCTCCAGAGCGAAGCCCAAGGGAACCAGCTGTCACCTGTGATGGAAAGGTTCTGCCGAGGCACTGGGGATCAGATTGCTATTATAATTCATTTTAATGCATTCTGCACGTACTAATCATTTATTGGAACAGGATCTTCTGTAATAGGGACATGACTAGCAAGAGACAGAGATGATTGATCATCCTTGCCTAGAAAGGATAGTTAAAACAAACAAAAAGCCCCACACCTTCTGTACAAGGGGCAGGTGTGTGTGTGTGTATGCACGAGGGATTGGGTATTCAGTGTGGAGATGGAGAAAAATTGAACCCAAAGCTTGAACTGAAATCTCTACAGTAAAAAAAAGAACCTTCTGTACAAGGGGCAGATGTGCATGTGGGCACAAAAGCTCATGTATTCAGTGTGGAGACGAAGAAAGACTGAACTCGAAACTTGAATCCAAATTTCTACTGTTCTGTCAGGCTGAAATGCCTTTTGGAGCCAGGAACCCAGGCACAGATGTTCCAAACTCTTGCCTCTGTTTTGCAGGTTGTATGTTTTATTGTATTTCTCTGATTGCATCAAGAAGCAGCTGAGGGCAAAGGCAGATGCCGGGTGGGCGGGTGGATTTGCAGGGAGGTGTGTTTGCACAAGTAGCTCAGGGATCAGGTCTGTAGTCTCTGGGACCTCCTGTGATCCTGTGTGAGGTGACACAACCGCAGCCTGTGTTCTGGTTAAACAACCCACTGCTGATCTCAGTTGTTCTGCCTGTTAAGCAAAGGGCAAACGGCACGATACGCCGAGCACTGGGCACATCGTTCCCACCGTCAGGGCAGGATCTGAGATGTGACCAGAAAAAAATGACCTGATGTTCAGACCCCTCCTGGGCAATGCTTGCAGAACCACTTTGGGCAGTGGGACTTTCTGTGACAAATGTGTTTCTGTAATATTTTTTTAAGATCTTCGCTACAGCTGTTAAATTGGCAAATCATTAACTCTTAAATGCCCATTGCATAAAATTGGTGCCGTGACATGTTGCGCTGTAATGAGCTAAGGTTTAAAGTTCTTTACTGCTAAAATAATTTGCTTGACGTCTGCTATATCTAAATAGGAGCTTTTCTGCACTGAAAAGAACATCTTTTTATTTAAATAAAGCTCTTAAAGTGTTTCCTAGCAGCATAGCTAAGGGGATACTTGGTTTTAAACACAGGCTGGCAAGGTTAAAAGTGGAACAGCAGTCGGGTGAATAATGGCCTATGAGTCAGCTGCTGAACTGGACTTGACAACCTCCATGTCACCACCGAGTCAGAAGTCATTTGTGTAACAGTTTGAGGGTAAAGAAGTAAAAAAATAAACTGGTAGTTTCCACTGGTAGAAGGCCATATCAGGGCTTTCTGAAACAAAGACTGAGAAGGGGGAAAGTTAAGCAGCAATAGTGCAAATGAGAAAAGAGTGTGGGTACGAATTGCATCCGTGTAGGTAATTCAAATATGTCAGTGCACCCCTCTGAAGTTCAGAGGAAAAGCAATGTGGTTAAAGAGTCTGACTGCTGGAGTCCTGGCTGACAGTAAGCAGGCCTCCCTCCCAGGGGTCTTTGCAGCTATAACTTGGTTAGCTTTCATTTGAGCAATTTGGGGCTAAGAAAGAGCCAAGTAACACTTCTGCAATCTGCTGTTGTTGCAGGGGTGGAACAGCAGAACTGCTCACCTCGCCGTCACTTTGTTCGGTCTCTCTCTTCGGGGAGATTTTTGTCACTGGATTGGCAATATCAGGAAGTTGTTATTTTTTCACACATAATCAGCAGCAGAAAGAGCAGGGTCCTGTTTCAGCCTCCAGGTGCTTACAGACATCTTTGTTAAAACTGACGAGGAGGGTGAGAACCGAATCGAAAGAGATGACAAGGTGACTTAGACAAGGCTTAGTGGTAAGGGAGTGCGTGGGAAGAGAGGGGATATCATGGCTTTCCTGGGAAAGGACTCCTGTCTGTGACACAGATAGGCCAGTTCTTCTGAATAATAAAATGACAACAATATTTGGAGGGAAATAACGTATTCTGCATGAGCATTCCTGTTCAGTAGCACTGATGGAGGTAACGAATTGCTGTGTGTTGTTCACTCCTTGTGACACATGTGGAATGGTGTCCTCTGGATGGAGCTTCTATCTGATATATTTTAGGCAGCATAAGCAAGGAAGGGAGGATCCCAAAAACTATTCTGTACCTGACCTAGAACAAGAAGTCAGGACCGTAATATGGCCTCTACTCCTTGTCACCGCAATCCTTTCAATTCACGCCATATTGCACAAGTTCAATATACTTTTGGGCTAAAGCTCTCCCGAGCACTTAGCTCTCTAAACTCCCTACTCAGCAGGTGGCTTATTTAAATGTGGCTGTCAGCTTGGCCAGTGGCCAAAAGCAAATGGCTCGATGCGTGAACTGCAGTGTTTGGGTTTAATTCTGCGCTCGCTCCTGCCAGCACAATCCTCCTGGCTCCGGTGGGGTTGTGTGGGGTACAAGTGAGTGCAATATAGGGCTGTCTGCTCAACTGTTTGTCAAATAAATCTATGGCCAGTCATTTGCATTATGTCAGCTAAACATTTGCCTGGCACTTTTCTCATCTGCGAGCCAGGGAGGAATTCTGGGTTGCTTGAAATGAAAACCATCGTTGTCAGCCCTCGCTTAACCAATGAGCGTTTCTCCCATCGCGTGTAAAGTAACTTCTTTTGCAACCCACAAGCCTGGAAGAGGAAATGTAAAGTTTTTCTAAACATCCAGTACAAATGGGGATATTAGCTGCTTAATTGAGTCTTCGAAATTCGGGTGTTATGGCTGAGCAAGTGAGATGGAGGGAGGAAGGAAGCACATGGTTTAAATTAAATATGTGGAAAGTAACCGCCGAATGATAAAAATGTATTTTAAAAGTAAGCAAACCTGGTTTCCCTCTGCCTCTCCATTAAATGTGTCAGGAAAGGGCCTTTACAACTAGGTGGTAATTAGAGAGGAAAAAGCACTGCTGGCAGAGCAGTCAATCTATCACATCCTCTACTGCCTAAATGTTACCAGCAATTAAACAAGTTAGTGGGGGAAAAACTTGACAAGCAAGTTTTATCACAGGATCATCTTGGTGTCAAAGTATGGGGTGCTCCTATTAGATTCCCTTGTGCAACCCCAAAGATTTAAAATCCGACCCCAGGAATGCATGTTCAAACCAAAGCAACTATTTTCTTTCCCAGACTACCCAGGCGCAGGGAAGATTAGAATGCTAAAAATAAAACAACCTTTCCCACCTCCCCCTTCCTCTCCCCTCCAAAGTCAAATCTGTCCAGGTTGACTGCTCCATTAAATTCAAGAACAAAAAGTTATAAATTGAACATAGGGAGAGCAGTGCCTTTTCTTAAAGTGATGTTTCCTCGCCTTAATGGATTTAGCTATGGCAGGGAGTCAGGGAGAAGCTGTCTTAACTAAATCTTTGACTGATTATGCATTTTTTTTTCTATTCATACAAGATAGATTCATCATTCCAATTTGTCAAGCTGGCGAAGTTCCAATTAATTACACCAGGAAAAGCTCAAGCTGCATTAGGCCTCTGTCAGGCCTAATCTAGTGCTTCATTTACTGGAGCCCCAAATGAAGAGATATCAGAGGTGTTGTTCCTCTTGGTACTTAATTTGATGAATGCCCTAGCAGCACGATCGGTGGCAGAGGTGTGTATGTGTGTGTCTCTTCATCAGCCACCACTGCTGAAGTCGTCATGCTTTCTCTACTAATTTGAGGGCTCATCTGTATACTGGATGTTTTTTTGGAAGGTCTATTCTTCATCGACGTGCCAAGAGGTTTCTTCTGTGTGTGCATGTGTCTGGGTGTGTTTCCAGATATGCAGGACCTGATTCTGATCTCAGTGGCGTGATGAGGTGGGATCCATGGCTTTAGGTGTAAATGTAAAGCAATGCAAGTTAGATTGCCTGCTGCAAAGGGCTGTAAATTTTGACATCCCTGTTGCGTGTATGCGGAGGAAGAGTGGCTTTGCACGTTGCTTCATGCAGCGCTCATAAGAAAGTGGGGGGTTATCATCCATGCCCACTGTAAAGAAGCGTTCAAAGGGCTTGAATAACCCCGAACAATTTGTTTGCTCTGTGGATTTGAATCTTTGGTACACATACATATGTGCTGTATCATTACAGTGAAGTAGTGTATGCAGGTCCAGACTCTGACACCACACTGGTGGGCTGCTATTGACTATATACATCCTATGCTAATTCTTAAATATTTTACAGTAAAGACACTATGGACCAAGAACATATGTTTCTTTTCTGCAGCACTTTACGTACGAACTATTCAGCATAAGGTGCCAGAATGCCAATATGTTTAGCTTACTTTTGGCTTTTAACCACTGCTGTGATTAAAGATGTAACTGCAGCAGTGCTGTCACTTTGCACGTAGGTTTAGGTGTCTCGGAAAGGATGCAGCATTAGCCAAGAGTGAAGTAGCTGTGTACCTTGGCTGAGTATAATGCTAAAAGTCGTCATTTGCCAGCAGTTACCATGCTGGGTTTCTGAGTTTATTTTCCACCGACTGTGTTTGAGGGACTGGTGTGTGCAATGATGATTTTTAATGGCAGCTATCAGACATGCATATGGTGCTCAGCAGGAGACTATTCAGAACAACCAAGGAGAGAATTGATGCACTGATGACTGTAGTACGACAACTCTGTAGACAGTTTGGACCTCAACTGGTGCTCATTTTTGGAAGGAGGGCCTTTGTATCTGTTAATGCATCAAATTTGCATCTGCCATTAGTGTGTCAAAACGAGGCAAGCCCTGTTGTACTGGGGTAACACCCTAAATCTTCTCTTAGGTGAGATTTTTGAAAGCGTTTCACTTTTGTTTCAGCACAGAATGAAATAAGGAAATTTAACCCCCCGTGGGAAATGTTGAAGGGAGAGCCAGACTGCAGTTCTAATGATCTTTTTTCATTCTGCTCAAGGAGGCTTTTCCTGGACGTATACATTTGAGGTTGGTTCTTAAATGTTCTGCTTAAGAAGTCACTAAGGACCAAAAGCATATGTTTCTTTTCTGCAGTACCTTATGTATGAATTATTCAGCATAAGGTGCCAGAATGCCAATATGTTTAGCTTACTTCTGGTTTTTAGCCTTATGTTTTATGTTAAGCAGGTTGTTTAAGCTCACCTGTTGAACTTGAAATAACTAAAAGCCTTCGTATAGTCTGGGCCAGACAACAGTGAGCTCTTGTAGTTTCCAAGTCTCTAGGCTGGGCCTTTGGTGGTTGTACTTGTACCCATCTGCTATGGGCTGACTTGGGTTTGCACCCAGCAGTTCCTTTATGTTTGCTGATATTTGTCTCTGGTTTACAAGCCTACTGGGGTATTTTGTGAGTGGTTTCAGTGTATGTTAATGCCAGGAGGTACCTGAGGCTGTCTTGAGCTGACATGAGCAATGTACCTGCTCTAGGTAGAGATTGTTCTGACTGGTTCTTTTTCATATGCACCACCAAGATGGTGTTGGAGTGAGCTCTATCCTTTAGAGAAATGAGAACTGTTTGTCCTTCTGCTGAGGAGACACAAGGTTGGAGGCTCAATGGATGTGTCCATGGGCTGTCTTCTCCTCTCATTGTGTGCTGATTGACCTCAGGGTTTAGCAGAAATGTGTCCCTGGAGGTGTACTGGACTTGAACTGTTACAAATTAAAACTAACAAAAGGGAATGTACATAACATACTACCGAAGGATCATATTCACCCTTGCTCTGGGACCAAAGTGAGGTTTATTCACTGCTAAAGTCTCACCTGATCTTTGAAAATACAGCCTACACAGTGCAATCATCACACTCAGTGGGTTAAAGACTCTGATGACTCCTGAGTCATTTAGACAAGACACAAGCGATCTCTTGTGGACAAAGGAAGTCCTGAAAAGGCCATAATCCACCCAAAATTTCTTTCTTCAAGGACGTTCCCTAGAAAGCTAAAGCTGTTCTTCCTTCTGTTCTCAATGAATTTTCATCTGCATCCAACACTGAATTCAAACTCTGCAGTAGTTTGGGTCATCACACGAGCATCTGTCTCTGAGGAATGATTACAGATGATGAGTTATTACCTTTAAATAAGGGGTAATTAATGCTTCCCACTCCGACTTTAATGAAAGGATTTCCTGATGGGGAGGAGGGGGACACACAAGGAATATATTGTATCAGTAATGCCCCTCTGGGAGTTATTGGCACAAAGTCTACGGTTAATAATTTGGAGTAACAAATAAATGTGGGCAACTTATGATATATGTTTGGAGAGAGAGGTGTCAAATTATTCATTATGAATTATTCTGCTAGTTCTGATGATGACCCAGCTGTTGAGGAGGAAGGGAAAGCTAGATCTGTCAGTGTAGAGAGACCCTCTTGACGTAATTCTGTTCCTTTCAAATGGAAAAATATAAACTTCCTCTGAGAACAGAAAATTAGATAAGACAAAAAGAATGGGATCCCTGCTCCAAATCCATTCTTTTTTTTTAGCTTAATGTACGCTAATGGATAATAAAAATGGTTGATTAACGAACAGCCGGCACGCCAACCAGCTGAAAAAACACATTTTGACAGTCAGCACTTGCAAAATCCATAGGTTAAGGACAAATTCAACCTCTGTCGCTGCTCTCAGTGTGGTCAGGTGTCCTTACCCAGACAGGGGTGTTCTCATGAAGAAAGGCCAGACTGTGTGTGTATATAGTACATGCGTGTGTGTAGATGAACACACATTGCCAGCTACATCTTTAGGGAGATTTTGGGATACTCTGTAGTTTGTAATACCTGAAGAAACTTGGTTGAATGGCAAACCAGTGTCTGGGAGCAAGGGAGCAAATCTGAGGGAGGTCAGTCCCAAGGCACACCCCCAAGTTGCCATCTGACTGTAAACAGGTTCTTGCTCCCTCCTTGGGCTTCTTCTCAAAGGTGGTGGTGAAACATCTCCCATTAGCTGCTTTTCTGCCTTTTCAACAATGTGCTTTTTCTGAGAGGATGATGTAATTAATACCTGTTATGAACCCCAATGCCTTTTATGAGAAATGATGTCTTGAGCCACCAAAACTGAAAGTGAGCAGAGGCTCTAAACCCTCCTGGATTTGGTAACTTGGTCCCAAACTCTCTCAAGGCACCAAAGGAGAAAGCTCAGCTTTTCTAACTCTGAAGACACAGTTAGGACAGCCTGAGCCAAAGCATCTGAAACTATGTCAGTCAAGAGAAAATAATTACACGATTTCTGTGGGGCTTTGTCATGTTTGAATATACTGCCTTTAAATATGTGGGGAAGAAAATATCTCTGCTATGTGATGCTTGGTCAGGTTTAACACTCTCATGTCAAAGGGTCAGAAAACATTAATGCTCCCTTACTGATGAACCCTTTTCTAAAATATTAATAAACTCACCTGGCAGCCTGTGTGTCATCCCTGCTTTGTGTCTTGCACGCTGTGCTCACGTCTGATTAAAACGTGAGCTGTCCAGGGCAGGACCTGAGTTCAGTGCTGGCTTGCTTACTGGTGCTATTATAAATAATTAAGATAATTATCCAATATGTTTATGACAGCTGACTGCTTTGGGTCGGCCTCTCTGAGGGCTCCTGTCATCAATGAAAATTCTGCAAATGGAGGGGTTTGCAGACTCTGGCGCCAAAGATGGATTACCTGGAAGCTTTCAGAGCTATAAACAATGCACTTTCCATTTGCCTCCCTCCATCCTGTATGGAAATGATCAGAAACTGTAATTTTATAGTGTGAGTAAATGGGTGAGAGACGTCAACAGCACGAGTGAGAGAGAGGCACTGTCTTTTGCAGTGCCAAATCCCAGAATATTAAGAGTTTGCCAAAGGCGTTTCAGAGATAGGTTTCCTATCTTCATCAATAATTTAAACCATTCCCAAGTCTCCTCTGAGTAGCTCAGAATAAGAGCTGAAGGCACGGATGTCAGAAGGCAGAGTGACTCCCAATTAGTCAGGTAGAGTGCCTTCTTGTTGACTCAGCCAGGGCAAGGGTAGCTGTAAAACCCAGGCTTGAGTCCTTATAGATTCCGTAATAGTTTTCTTCTTTAAATCCGTGGTAATTTGTAAGAGATGAGTGGGCAGTCCAGTCCCTAATTCACCGGGGTGCTCATTAGTGCCATGGAAAAACACACAGGATGTTCTGTAAGTTGGCAGATACAGTTGCTAACGGGAGATGGGTTGGACAATCAGCACCACACTGTACGCGAGCAAGGCCCAGGAAGAGGTGGCAGCTTTTAAAAGCTGCTGGAAACGGTGGCGTGACTTGGGGGCATTATCAAGCTGGAAGAGTTTGCAGTGATGCCTTCTAAACTGGGACTTGGTCTTTGAAAGCATTGCCGTTAGGACTGTTGGATCTACGTGGAGTTTTGAAGAAGTGATGATATTTTGTCCTTGCACGCGGGGGTCCTGTTAGAACACTTTGGTGTCATGCAGAAAATTGCTTGTGGGCCCCTAAATCTGGGCCACGTGAGTGCCTTTCCCCGAATCAGACAATTTGCAGCAGCTCTCTGGCTGCATCTGCCTGGATGTGTCATAAAAACCCTTGAGTGTCCTATCTTGAGCATGCTAAACGTGTTTATGTACCACACAGCTTATTGTGCACTAAACTCATCCACATGGCAGGCAGTTTTCTAGTGTTTAGGCCACTATTTGACCCAGCTGCCATGGAGAAGGCTATATTAAGTCCAGCTGATCAGGGCTGTCTCCACACTGGAACAGGAAATTAGTCTCTATAGCTATGTGACTCTGTCAGCTTTTTTACGCATTTCACACAACTAATTTCCTATAATGTTCAGCTTTTCCTACTTCCCCCCCCCCCCGGTGTGAGTAACATTATTTTGCTATTGCATTCCCTGATGTGGCCTTCAAATCTAAAGCATGATACTAATTATGTATTATTCTTTTTTTTTTTTTTTAAAAAACTTTTCTCCTGACACTGCTTATTGCACCTGTTTGTGCCCTAGTGTTTTTAACTGCACGTGTTTCCATCCAAAACATGCTGGTTCCTTGCACTTGGTTTGGAATTGTGCTTTGCTGCTGATTCCTACATTTAATCACAGCTTTGCAGTGCTCACCTGGCCCAGTGGCAGAGCTTGACTGAATCTTTCCTCCTTTGAAAAAAAACGTGGATTTTTCAAAGCTGTCCCTTGTAATATTGAGATCTGATGTTTAAATAGCTGGTTACTAAGAAAAACATCACAAGTGCCTTGAAGACAGAAGTTTTGGGGATTAAGGTGAAGAGAGGATGAAGAGGGTGGGGTTGCAGTGAAGTGGGGATTCGTTTCCCCTCCATAGGCTGATGTTCCAGCACTGACTTCAGTCATCATGCAGAGTTGCAGATGTTGTTGCTCAGGCCCCAAGTCTTGGATTCTTATCATATCTATCTAAAGTCAGGAATCTCATTCCAAGAGGGACAGACCTTCAGCTCTGCACCTCAGATTTTCAAGGAGCAGGGTGTTATAATCAAGGGATGACAGTGTCTCACATATGGCTTGAGTTGTCTGTGTAGGCAAAGCCACTCCATGCATGCTCCTATCTCGTGGCAAATGCAAGGTAATCCATGAATCTGAAACTAAAACTCCAGATATTTGATGCTTCAGGTCTTGTCACTGCTTCTGTTAATATGACAGAATTTTGTCAGCTGCAAAATATGGTTTGACATTCAGTCCCGTTGTCCTGCATCCTTAAACTCCTGGGAAACCGTGTGATCCATGGCAGGACTAAATTCTCAACTAAATTACACTGCTTTGGGTCTAAGGCAACTCCTCTACACTGCAAGGATTTTGTCCCTGCTCTTCCCTGCTGTAGAGTGTCACCATGCCCGTGCTTTATGCCTCAGGTTTTACTGATCAGGTGGCTGGAGAGCTGGTAATATGCCACTGGGCCAGTGGCTTAATGCAGGAATTACTGGAAGCAGCAGTCTTGGAGTGCTTTTTATGAGGATAACAAGGCTTTTGCAGACATAAAAAGCAGGAGAAATGCTTATTAGTTATGGGGAAGGTGAAAGGCTTAGAAAACTGATTAGTGTAGCAGTGTGGTCAGATTGAAATGAAAGCTCAGTGGCATAATCGTTAATTGGGTGCTTACTTACCTACTAATTTGAGCTTGGATGTCAGCAGTACTGCACTTCATCTCAAACCAGAGGTCAGGCTTTAATGCTACATCATAAATTACGTAAAGGCACAACACTAACAATTAGATAATTATGGAGACCCATGCTGTTGCAATTTAACTGGGCAAGTTCAGGGCAATCATGACAGGAATAGTGCTTAACCCTGAATCTGCTGCCTTTCTTTCAACCTGACAGCCAAATATATGTGGCCAAGGAGGTACCCAGCTGTCTGGCAGCCCACAGGTTAAAAGCATCTTCCTCTATTAGTCAGATTCATCAGATGGCCGGGGCGAACTCTGAGGCAATATTGCAAAAACATTAATTATGGTTCAGAGAGAAAAGCCTGTGTTTTAATCTGCAGGAGATTCTGGGCAGGGCACAGCAGTCAGAACTGGGTTTTTTTGTGTTCAAGGCACCGTTGTGTTTTTTTTATTCGTTTCTAAGCCAAGCCTGTGTATATGTTCAGTTTATTTACTTTGCTTAAATAAACCACCAAGCCAAAAATAAGGTTGTCTGCAGGGATCTCTTTCCATATATCCGTGTTGCACGGGACAGACACACCAAACCTTCCATTTCCAGTGCTGGAGTCATTCCATTGCCCTCAGCTTGTCTGCCTGGCTGGCAGTGCTGCTTTGTGGGGCAGAAGTAGCATTGTAGGGCAGGGACAAGGCCACTGCAGAGGGTGGCTTGTCCCCAGCAGTGTTCCTGCTGTGACCCTGCTGGAAGCCTCACCTGCAGCCTCCAGTGGTCATTGCCCATCAGTCCCAAGCACATTCCAGCATGGATCCTCTTGATGCCCTTAATGGCTTTAGTGGGGAGGGAGTTCAGTCAGCCCTGGACATTTGGAAATTCAAGAGAGATTGAAGATCAGGGCGGAAAACATCAGTCAGGTGGATTGAAAAGTGATTGACAGTGGACTGAAATTAATAACATGCAGATCTTGAGTTGTTTGGCCGTGTGGTTTTAGACATAAAGCAGCATACCCTCACTGAGAAATATGT